TTCCCTCCCCCTCCCCCAATCACGTCCCCCTCCCTCATCAGCCCAAAGAGCAATCAGGGTTCTCTGCCCTGTGGGAAGTCCAAGGACCACCCACCTCCATCCAACCACCTGGCAATTCTTTCTGACTACTAAAGACAGCTTTATTGCTCTTTTCCCTTCCTGTATTCATTTCTCTTTCACTCCCTAGTTAAAAGCACCTTCCCTTTCCCTGTTTTTCTCATTTACCCACAGGAGTAAATCTTAATTGTCCTCTCTCATTGGATAGCTATTCTGACCCTTTGACATCTGGATTGTTTTGTTTTGTTTTTGTTTTTGGGTCAGGGTCTCACTGTGTACCTCTGGCTGTCCTTTGGTGAGCAAGCATTTCCAGCTTGAGTGTGCTGCCCATGCACACTGGGGAAACAGGCTGTTGCTGACTGTCATGAGAATCACCGTTTATTTTTTATTTATTGCTCCCTGAGTGAGGGTTGCTGGCTTTGTTCTGCCTCAGCCTCCAGCTGCTGGGAGTGCCGCTGGGTGTCATCACATCTGGCCTTTAATTTATGTGTGATCTGGCGTCTAAACTGGCCTGGAACTCTTGGTCCTCACGCCTTTGTCTCCTGAGTGTTGACTTTACAGGAATGTGCCGCCATGCCTGCTTCTGATTGTCATTTATGGAGGGAAACACTCACCAATTCTTTTGAACTATAGTTTGGAGAATAGAGGAAAAAATATTTTGAAAGCTCTCTGAGAATTGAAACGGCAGGGTCTTATATTTCTTAAAACATGTTAAGTTTCAGGATTGGCAAATTCAAGATAATAGGTACGTTATTCTCATGGCAAAAGTGAGGTCTATGCAGAGACTATTGGAATTTTCTTTCTGCCTGGATGAAGGCACTTTCAAGTTTGTAGTCTGTGAGTGGTTTCCTGCTTCCTTGGGTTAAGCAGTGAATCTGTCACCAGTCAGCTGAAAGGTGAGGAAAGGGGTGTGGGGGTGAAGAAGAGTTTAATTTTTAAAAGATATGTTTTCCTTTTAGTTGTGTGTGTGTGTTGTTGTGGCCTGTGTTTTGACGGTCAGCTGAAGAAAGAGATCACTCCAGAATGTAATTTGGTTTAGCAAAAGCACCAGGGAGGGGGGTCAGTCTCCATGGGCTGACTGCTGGTGGCTTCCCAAAAGCTTCTTTTATTGTTACACAAATTATATACCTCTAATCAAGTCAATTTTCGCATGCCCAAACCTCTAATCTAGAGTTTTTTGAAGGAACCATTTACTTAAGTAGTTCTCCCCCTCCTGGTTTGCCAGGTCTACTTGAGAATATGTTTTGCAAAGGTTCTGGAATTCTTCAGGGAGAACTCAGATAAGAATCACTGATTTTAGCTGGGTGGTGGTGGTGTATGCATTTAATCTCGGAGGCAGAGGCAGGTGGATCTCTGTGAGTTCTAGACCAGCCTGGGTCTACAGAGCAAATTCCAGGACAGGCACAGGCTCCAAAGCTGCACAGAGAATCCGGGGCTGGGGTGGGGGGAATGGGGGGATGGGGAGGAATCACTGACTTTAAACAAAAGTCAGTTCAGAGCCTGGGTGTTGTCACACTTGAGTGTAGGTGCCTGAGGAAGCCAGAAGAGGGCATCAGGTTCCCAGAGCTGGAGCTACAGGTGTTTGTAAGTTGCCCATCATGGCTACTGGGAACTGAATTTAGGTCCTTAGGAACAGCAGGCAGCTCTCTTAACCAAGAGAGTCATCTCCAGGCCCCTTAAGCAAGATCAGTCAGGACTTGTCTACAGACTTTTTTTTTTTTTGTGATTTTGCGATTGGGAATTATTGTTTGGCAGAGGATGTTCAGAGGATTAAATCTGGTTATATTCCTCCCAAAATAAGAAAATGGAGGTCTTAATTATGTCTAAATGGGTTTATATTGAGCTAACATGTTCCATGGTTTGAGAGTTAGAGTTATTAATGTTTAAAATGGCAGAAATTAATAAGAGAACAGGAGAAGAAATGATTTTTTAAAATTTTTATTTTATGTGCGTTTGTGTTTTGCCTGCATGTATGTCTGTGAGAAGGTGTCAGATTCCCTAGGCCTAGAGGTATACACAGTTGTGAGCTGCCATGTGGGTGCCGGGATTGAACCTGGATCCTCTGGAAGAGCAGCCAGTACTCTTAACTGCTGAGCCATCTCTCCAGCCCTGGAGAAATGAATCTTAGTGTAGGTAATCTGTAGTGTAGGTAATCTGTATCATATGATTGAATTTCCACACCAGTGACAACACTCGCTCTCCTTTCTGTAGACTTGTGTGCGGGACAGAGCTGCTCTTTCAATTGTGGCTGTGCGGAACATCAGCAGAGAAGAGGCCCAGAAGGCTGTGGATGACGTTTTTGAGTCCTGTTTCAACGACCGTGAGCCTTTTGGCAGGATCCCCCATACTAAGACATATGCCAGATATGCTCACAGGGACTTTCAGAACCGTGATCGCTATTACTCGAACATATGAAGATGGTGGCCGTCTGTATCCCTGAGCCTCAGGACCATGAGGGAGATGTCCCTAGACACAGAGTCTCTACAATTGTATGGAATAAAGTGCAGAAGGAGCTGGCTTTAGCATTTGACTATAAAATGCTATGTATTTGACTATAAAAATAAATATGTCAGGTGTGGTGGTGCACGCCTTTAATCCCAGCACTCGGGAGGCAGAGGCAGGCGGATCTCTGTGAGTTCAAGGCCAGCCTGGTCTACAAAGGGAGTTCCAGGACAGGCTCCAAAGCTACAGATAAACCCTGTCTCGGAAAAAAAAAAAATGGCAAAAAAGGAACTCCTTAAACTGCAAGGCAAAATTGGATCTTTATAGTTAATCATTTAGTAAATAAGGGAAATAAATGACATTTTTATATTTTCCACAGTATACTTTTTTTTTAATGCTTTAGCTTTGTAATCGTTCTCTATGAGATTATTTTAAATTTTGGTTATGAGATCTGTGAAGCATGTACCCGCGTGATGGTGGTGGGAGTCAGAGTTAGTATTTATACAGTGAGACGGTCACCTTGTCGGACATTGGTGAGATGCTGTCAGGATCAAGTGCAAAGAGTGAAAGTTGGGAATAATTCATTCAAGGTGGTGTCATTCTCTCTCTGTTCACGGTGTGTGCACTGGGGACCTTAGGACTTATTTCCTGGGGACAGTCTGATAAATAGATACTTTGCTTTCTCTTAGTTTTTATTTTTTATTTTGTGTATAGGGATATTTTGTCTATATGTGTGTCTGTATTATGTGGTTGTCTGGCACCTCAGGAGGCCAGAAGGGGGCCTTGGATCCCCTAGAACTCGACTTATAGATGATTATGATCCATTGTGTGGGTGCTGGGAATCAAACTCAGGCCCTTTGGAAGAGCAGCCAGTGCTCTTAACTGCTGAGCCATCTCTCCAGACCCCCTTATTAGGCTTTTTTTTAAAAATTAGGTACTATATTCAACTCTATAATGCAATTTAGTTTAATTTTATATATTTATAATTTTTTATATAATAATTTTCAAATATTTTGTTTGTCTACATATCTGAATTTTAGATGCAGAAAACAGGTTTCTAGTCAGTATGGGGGTGTGCCTATAATCCTAGCACATGGGAGGAGGAGGCAGGAGGGTCAGGAATAAGAGGCCAGTGTTGGCTGTGTAGTGAGTTCAAGACTAGCCTGGGCTACATGAGACTTTGTCCTCTCAGCTGCATTTTCACTCATTAGTTCTGAGGCGTCCGTGGATCCGTGGACACGGATGAGTGGAGAATGTGTGGGTTGCCGTCTTCCCAACTAAAATGGAAACTATACGGGCAAA